GTAGTCCCACTGAGGAGATGATCCAGTGTTACTCCGGCCTTTGTAAAGGCTTTCAACAATCTTATCTGAAAGCAGCGCTCAAGCCGATGATGTAGTAAACCTTTAATTCACTTTGATCAATTCAAATATGGCTGATTATTGTATTGTATATCGGTATGTATATAATTATTAAAAGCTGTGATAAGAAGCAGATGTTTATACAGCAGCATAATATTCAAGGAGCTGTGGAAGTTCCAACATGCCAGCATGTTGATGATTGTTTTGATTGTGTAATCCTGATTCATACATGTGATTGTATGACTGTTGTTGTGCAGCATCATTGTTTTTATGAATGATCTGTGCCACTCTGTGCAGGAACCAACTCGTTTAGAAAAGTAATTTTTAACTCCAATTTTAAAAGAATCATTTTAAAAACAACAAAATGCAATGATTTGCAAATCTCATAAATCCCTATTGTATTCACAATAGAACACAGAAAACCTGTTAAATCTTTAAACTCTTAATTTTGAACGATTTCACAAAGAATCTTGACTCATTTTGAGTCTGATGACAGCAAATGTTTCAAAAAGGTTGGGCCAGGTGCAACAGCAGGCTGGAAAACTCAGTGGTCCTAAAAGGAAACAGCTGGAGGAACAATTTCAATTCAGTTTAATTGTATTTAGACCTCTCCAAATCACAACAACAGTGACCTCAAGGTGCTTGTAAGGTCGACCCTACAATAATACATACAGAGAAAACCCAACAGTCATATGACCCCCTATGAGCAGCACTTTGGCGACAGTGGGAAGGAAAAACTCCCTTTTAACAGGAAGAAACCTCCAGCAGAACCAGGCTCAGGGAGGGGCGGGGCCACCTGCTGTTGTGTTTTTATAACTAATAATAATTATAACTAATCAGTTTAAATGACAACAGGTCAGTAACATGTCTGGGTACAAAAGTTCCTCAGAAGTAGGCGGGACCAAACTGTGTCTACAAATTATGGACCAATGACAGCATACTGTTCAGAAAAAGATGGACGAGAAGAGCTCCTCGAGGCAAGTGTTGTTGTGATTTCTCTCGATATAAATCAAACTGAAGACCCAGGACTGCTGAGCTAGAATCCTCTGTCAGACAAGAACGGGACAAAGTTCCTCTCCCGAAACTCCACAGCTGCTCTCCTGTTTCCAGATGTTAGAAAAAGATACTACAAAGATGGAGACATACTCCTGTCGCAACCTTTTGGAGATGTTCTATTGTGAACAAAGTATTGGTTTATGAGATTTGTAAATCACTTTGTTTTGTTTTTATATGTACATGTTACTCAGCTTCCCAGTAGTTGAACTGTGGCTGTGTTTAGCAGTGGGTAGAGACAGCGTGTCATCTGCTACGTTCTTTTAACCACCCAAAATAAACAGTGTTTAAAAACAAGATTAAACTATTTCATTTAAAATAAAAAATTATTAGTAAATATTTATATTGTGATTTGAATTCCACTCGCCTTGTGTCAAGGAGGAAAAAACGATCACGCACCTGCTGCAATAGTTCCAGGGGTCTCAAACTCGCGGCCCGGGGGCCACTCGCACGAACTCATGTGTCACTTGCACTTGTATTTTGTTAAATACGAACGTGTGTGACATACAGAGGACCAGTGTGTTTATTTGCTCTTTCAATGAAACGATTCAGTTAGTTAAGATATTGCTATATAATATTTCCATCCATTTTCTTCTGCCTATCCGGGGCCGGGTCGCGGGGGCAGCACCCCGAGCAGAGAAGCCCAGACCTCCCCCGCCGCCTCCTCCAGCTTATCCGGGGGGACACCGAGGCGTTCCCAGGACACGCTGGAGAGATTATCTCTCCAGCGTGTCCTGGGTCTGCCCCGGGGCCTATATGATATTTGAAATTTTAGAAAAGCAAACAAAATATTTTCAGAAATGTTTGTTTTTTGTATTAATTGAACACAAAAGTATCCTTCAGACGACAGTGCCAGCAGTGGCCCTCAGCTCCTTCCAGTGTGAGACCCCTGCTTTATTCATACTCTCCTCAGTATTTGCATGGACAGTTATCTGGTTGGGCCCGTTGGTGAGTGCTAGGTGCTCTGTTGGGTAATGTAGAGGGGCGTATCAGGAGTTTTCCCATCATGCCCTCTCCCTGGTCCTCAGGAGCCGTGAAGTACTTGGAGTGCTCTGCGCTGACCCAGCGAGGCCTGAAGACGGTATTTGACGAGGCCATCCGGGCTGTGCTCTGCCCCCCACCCGTGAAGAAGAGGGGGAAGAGATGCACCATGTTCTAAGGAGGAAGCACTGCTAACACTACACCACATCACCATGAACAACAACCACTACTTCTCTGAGAGGATGAGAAAGAAAACTAGCGAGAGTGAGTGTGCACTGCTGAGATTGCTTTCTTTATATCGATGTTTTTTCAAAATCATATTGGTAGGACCAATATTTAACCCAGTTTTTTTAACCATTACAGAGTAAGGTCATAGGTTCTCTGTGAAAGACAATGACTGTCCAACTGCTTTGTACTCATAGACACGTGTCATGTTGCCACGAGGGCTCACAAAGACTTCTTATCTTCTTACTGCAAAGTCTTTTGTTTCTCAGCTATGCTTGCTTGAAATAATGCAGTGTTGACTAGATAGAACATGAACTGTGAATACGCCTTCAGCTCTGAAGTTACCCTCAGCTTCTGATCTAGGATCAGCACATTAAAAGAAATACTGCCTTCATTCGTTCACCCTCATTTCTGACAGTATGCACAGCGAGGTCCCCCCTGAGATCTATGGTCACATGACAGAAACACCAGCAGTTAGACTCTCTGACAGCTTGGTTCACTGGCGGGTGTCCTGATTGGCATTTTATTATTCCCGATCCAAACCAAGTTCTTTAAAATGGCAAGGTATTCAAGTTTGCTCCATACTGCCAGATCAGCGTCTCATTATTAAACAGCTAATTGGAGAAAGGCCGTGCTGTTTCCCTCAGACTGGGCAAACGGCCCAAGATGCTCCCTGTAGTTCTTAGCTAGCACAGTGACTGTAACGATGGTCTAACTGCTTGTATTTGTTCAATCCTCTCAGTAACCTGTTGAGTTAGGACAGATTTCCTGCCAAATGATCACATCAGCGCTGCAGTCAAAGTATAAACATGTAACCATGAACTCATCCTCTTGGGTTTCATCTCAGTAAAGCCACGCACAGATTCATAATCATAGCCCCGTGTCATCGTTCTTAACTTTTCAATGAGAAAAAAGATTTTCAATGAGACACAAAGGTTTAACTGGAGGTTTCAGTCAAAGCTTGTCTGTTTCATAACTGTACTTTAGAGGTCTACCTGCAAACCTTTCGCTCGCTTCCAGAAGCATCCTCTGATCAGTTGAAGAATTATTTGGCTATACCCCTCCAGCGTGTTCTTGCTTCAGTCGCCTGATCTTGGTCAATTTCTTTGGGTAACTATTCTTAACTGTGAAGATGTGACAGACGAGCTTGCCAAACACACGGGGGCTGTACAACCTTGCTGCCTGAGTTCTGCCTGTGGGAGTGGAGGAGCTTGCATGGGTCTTAAAATATTCTGTCTTAATTTATCCCATTGTTTAGACTGTGTGTGCGTGTGTTTGTGCGCAAGCACATGAATGCGTGCGTGACAGGTGTGTTTGCGTGCGTGCACAGTGGGCGGGCATGTGTCGGTGAGACAGTTTGGGGTAGTGCATAAGAGACAGTATTGTTTTAAGCCAAGTTTTTTAGTGTCCAGTTTTTGGTACTATTTCATATTGTATTGTAGTAAAACACAAGACTTTTCAACAATCTGTGACATAAAGGAAGGAAAACACACGAATATCAGTGACATCCAGTCATGTACAGAATAATCCTCAGAAAAGGAATGCGTTATGAATATCTACATGTACCTGAATATTTAGCTCGTAAAACTAAAACAATTCAAACTAAAGGGATTATAGTTGCTCATGTCGAAGTTAGAAGTGTCGCTAACAGTGTACAATAAAGGGCCAATCGTTGTGGAGTTTGTCGTCATGGCAAACAGTGCAGATTGCACCTTTATGAAATGCATTTCTGTATGGTCGCAGGCCTGCTGTGTGTCTGTCTCCCCCGTGTGGCGAGACGCAGCACTGCAGTGCTCCGTTATGCTGTCTTTGGTTGGCATAGCTGTGTGGTTGAATCATGTCGTGTGGTCCTGCCTAGCTAAGGTGTCGAAATGTAGCTGAGAAACAGCAAAAGAAAAAAAACTACTACTATTGCATGGAAGTTCTCTGGTTATTTGACCCACTGTAACTCTTAGGAGAGGTTGTATGATGAAATGCATTGGCCATGTACGTATGTAATGTAAGATGACTTGTATACTTGTTTCAACTGTTTGTCTTATTTTTTATTACTTCACATGTCTGTGTGGTGACATATTTCAATTTTTTGTATACTAAATACAAATGTATATGTAAGGTAGTCTGCTTCCTGTCATCATTTCCTCCTCACACAGCGAGGCATTCCCTCGGGTTCACATCGAAATGTGCTTCGTGGACTAACACTGAGGAAAACGCTAGTGGCTGCACGAGTCCTTTTTTTACAGGATTATTTACATATATATTAACAGAAGACAGACTGTTCCTGTACCTTTAGTTGTTTAGATTTATCAAAGTGACCAAACGAATCATTCTGACTGAAGATGATGATGATGGCTCTTATTCAGCTTCATCAGCAGGCTTTCCAGCACACGTCCAGGCTTCAGTTCATCTTTGCTATTCTTTACTGCAGCACTGAAGCAACTACAAGAGCCTGCAGTGCGTGAAGCCAAATTAATAAGCAGAACCGGCCTGGTTAGGAAGAGTCCAGTGGTTCTGTCACTTTGAACCAGTTACTAAACTTTACTAAGGCCTGTGTCTCAGCTCCTCACTTCGCCTCAGCTGTGGAGCGGTGCTGTAAATAAAGAGGACCCAGAGTTCATTCGTTTCTGTTTTCATGTGTCGGTGACTTAGTCACTGTGATCATTTATATTTCAGTAAAAAACAAACAATTTATTTTTAAACAGTTTTTGTTTTTAATACTGATTTTAATGCAGCAGCATGTTTTTGTCTTTTAATAGCACAAATTCCATCAATGGGTCAAACAATCCTTCGGGCCCCTCGCTGGTTGAGTCCAGTTATATTGGAGACAATCACAGTGAAGAAGAAATCTACAAGTGAAGTTTTGCTCCGAGCAGGTGGACGATGGGCTGATGTGGGTCAGCAGGCCAGGAAGCCTCCATCCACCGGCAGAGTGACTCCATTAATCATGCTGCTCTTTTCACTCAGCAGGAATAAAATGCTGTTCACAACCTCCTCCACCTCTGCACACAGACACACACATCACATTCAGCTTTACAGAGCTAACCCTGACACCACGGGGAGGATCGTGTGCAGGCCAGAGGGCAGGACTGAGTCTATCAGTGTTATGTCCCTAACCCTCGACTGGGATCATGCAAACTGGTCTCACTCTGTGGACTCGTCACCTGTCTGTGGGGTAACACTGCCTCCCATGCATACAGGAGCTGAACACAAACACAGTGATGTGATCTAAGAGGACATGTCTGACCAAGACTGCTGCAACTGACCTGCGAAGCGGCCCAGGGGGATCCGGGACTTCATGCTCTTGGCTTTTTCAGGATCACTCCAGCCCAAGCGACCCATGTCAGTCATCACCACTGTGGGGTTCACGGTGTTCACACGGATCTGATCACAAGACGACACCTGAGTTAATCGAGTCACCGAACAGACGTCAGATCCCGTCTTTGTTCAGACGACCCCGATCCGACTGTTGAATACTTCATGTTAACAGCCGGACAGGCAGCAGTAACTAAAGTAATCTCCTAAAGCGACTGTATGAACCTCATACATGCTTTAAAACACTGGCTCATAGAACTTATAAGTAAGTTTGGTGTTGGCTGCTGTCCTGTTGTTTGCTTCCAGTAAATGTTGAGTTCACAGGAACTGATTCAGGTTTCGTTTAGATGCAGCCTTTACAAAACTCTGTGTGGACTTTGGTGTCAGGTTGGTGCCGACACCACTGACACCAGCTGCCAGCGACTTCTTACACAACTCCTTCACTATGTTGCACATATCACACTGTGCTTTCGGGCCTGTCGTCCTCAGAGAGCGAAGGGTCACTTAGGGTCTCTCCTGGGATTTGAAAGCCTACATCCTGTGTTTTGATGTCGTATGATTATGAACCTGCTGCTCTCTCTCAGCACCACACCAGGCTATATGAGTTTGCAGAAGCTGTTTCACAGTGCAGTGAGCTGTCCTGGCATTGGTGTGTGCATGCAGTGTTTCACTGTTATATCAGGTCTCATCAAAGTATTCCAATGCTTTTCAACACCTTACATGACGTGAGGCACACGTGTAAATGACTTTGACACTTGAACGGTGATGCAGTTACAGGAATAATTAATATTCACATGAAATCATTTCCTGGACAGTTTCTTGCATTAGCTTATATTGTTTTCCCCGTATTTCCTGATCATTTAGAAATAGACAGCACGAACTGAACGATAACTGTGGCATCACTAACTCAGTTAATGCTTTCACAAAGATGCACCTGAGCTAACCACATTAGCACTAGTAACTGTGAGGTGGAAGCTGGACGTGTGGAACAGGACAGTGGTGTACCTGATGTGGTCCCAGCTCTAAAGCCATCACCTTACTCAGCATGTCCAGAGCCGCTTTGGTAGCACCTGAGCACAGAGCAGAAACAGAAGCTCAGTTTGTTACCCTCACTGGGCTTCTTCGTTTAAATGTGATAGAGGCTGTGGCGCCCATGTCTGTGATCCTCACAGTAGACGGCGTGCTCTCTGAGGGCGCGCTGCGATGCCTGGCTGGACACATTAACAATGGAGCCTCCCGATCCCCGGGCCTTCATACCACGAGCCACTAACTGCCAACAGACGGAGCTTTGTCTCATTGCACAGAAGCAGTTTGATGAATGAGACGGGTCAACCCAACACCCTACAAGCTCCACTCAACTGCATCGAGCTTTGTTACAGAAACTTTCCAAAACCCAACTTAACCAATAACATCAGCGTCAAACAATTCATGTAACAAAATGTCATCTGCTCATTTTTTAAGCACAGATTTGTGCACGGCTCAGACCGACAGGCGAAGCACAGATATAGAGCCGGAGCTTTCAGATCTACACAAGACATTTCTTAATATCGAGGTAAAAAAACACTTTTACTGTAAGTCCCATTCACACGTTTTCTAAAGCTTGTCCAACACTCATTGTGACGGGTTCATTCACAGCTGAACTTCAAAGCAATGCATTTCCCACAAATCAAATCCAAAGAAAGGAAACACCGTGGTTTAATAAAGCAGCCGTGTTTGCTTTACCTGAGAAACCTGCACCACAGCTTTCACATTCACACTGAAAGCCCTGGAAGACACAACAGACGTGACAGGTTAGCACATGATGAGGCTCTGGCCTCGGGCTCACAGGCTTGTGCTGTGTGCTTACGGCTGGTACTTCCTCAGTAACAAATATGAAAGTTGAGAATATTTGCTTTACTGCTCAAACTTGTCAGGTGTGACTTCCAGAAATGGCTGTAGGTTGGCGCAGGCAGCGTTATTGACCAGCAGGTCGACAGGGCCGACATCCTGCAGGGCCTGCTCTGTGGCCCCCCAGTCTGTGAGGTCCACACACACCGGGGTGATGGAGGCGCACTGTGACAGGAAGTCAAAAGCAGACGGACTCGGATTAGAAGGAAGACAAGAGACATCAAATATTTATAATGCGTTTGGGCCCCAGAACTGAATCAGTCACAGTCCTCCTCACAAACAGCAAACTCTGACGAGGTTACAGCAGCTGTGCGAGAACAACTAAATCCAGATGCTGAACAGCTGTTCTGAGGTCAGACCAACTGTGTGCAGGGTAGCTTTGTTCTTCTTTCAGCTGCTGCCGTAGAGTCAATCAGTGACTTGGTGCTAATGCTTCTCATGTTAGCCGTGCAGATTGAAAAAAATTATTTCTCTATTATCATATTTGCATGACGAACATACTGCAGATTCTACTTCAAGTGAAAACGACATTAAACAGCTTTTAAAGTCATCAGCTGCCGTCAGCTGATTAAAATCTGTTTGATATAATGAGTCAGAAAAGGTTTGGATAAGTTATTAATAAGATTTAAACTGAGAAGAAATCTCACTGTGCAGATCAAAGCTGTAGGCAAAGAGTCTATTAGAGTCTCTTAGGTTTATCTGTGCATCACAGACGCTCCATCAGAGAACTGACAGGAACAGCTGTGATGGGTTTCTGACGTCTTCCAGGCACAGAGCTAAAGCAACAGCGACGCCAAGTCTCTCTGCAGAAAGAGGACATTTTGGATTTTTTATATGTAACGTTTTTTTTTTAAAGATATGACTCTCTCTTCCACAGCATGTCTTTATCCCGTCTTCCTTCTCTCAGCCCAACCAATCGCAGCAGATGGCCCCGCCCCTCCCTGAGCCTGGTTCTGCTGGAGGTTTCTTCCTGTTAAAAGGGAGTTTTTCCTTCCCACTGTCGCCAAAGTGCTGCTCATAGGGGGTCATATGACTGTTGGGTTTTCTCTGTATGTGTTATTGTAGGGTCGACCTTACAATATAAAGCACCTTGAGGCGACTGTTGTGAATATAAATAAAACTGAACTGGGACTTTTTTTTTTTAAAGAGGCTTTAGAAAGGTTCCTAAATATTTGTTTGTTAATTCTGTGCTTTTATAATCCATATATATCATTTTAGTAATGTATCTTTTTCTTTTGGACTCTTCTTGGACATTTTATTTATACAGCACTGAATCACAACACCAGTCAGCTCAAAGTGCTTTATATTGTAAGGTGGACCCTACGATAATACCAGACCCACACGCCTCTCCAGCTCCTCGCTGTCGGTTCCCTAACAGTGCATTTACACGTGGTTGGTTTTTATACCCATCATTTTTAAGAGGTGGCCTGAGATATGCTTTATGCTGATTGACAGTCCACTGTGTGGGTCAAAGGTCAGGGCTGGGGCCCCTCAGATGGGTGTGTGTGGGGTGATCACCTCCTCCACCAGGCTGTTGAGATCGGCCTGTGTTCGTGTGACCGCTATGACCTTTGCCCCGCAGCGTGCCAGAGCCAGAGCTGTGGCCCTACCAATCCCTGGGACACAAGAATCCATAAACACAAAGACTGATTACAGAGTGGACACACACACACACACACACACATTCCACACATGTCTTAGGCTTCGTTCCACCAACAAAGCTCCTGTTATTCCACTTTCTCACTGATGACACTGGTTCAGGCTCCGTGCAGTGTCATCAGATTCCTCCAGCACACTCTGCTGAGTTCACAGTAATCAGTAACTTCATCGTCCACAACACTGTCTCACTTTAAACGTCTGTAACACGGCTGGAAGCCGACAGAAGGACATGTTAGTGTTGTGTTTTATATTTGTCTAACTTGGTGTATGTGAAGGACACGTTTATACAGCAGCCTCCGTTTGGGGCCACACAAGGAGCTATGATGGTTTGTGTTTGAGTGTAAATGAAATCAACATCACTGCTGACATTTAATGTTCTCTTCAGAAACTTGTTTGTAAATCAAGCTCAAGTGGAAATCACGTGAAACTTTACATTAAGCATTGACTCGTTTAAAAACAGAAACAGTTTCACGAGAGGAGAGTTAGGCTGCGTTCACTCTGCAGGTCTTAATGCTCAATTCCGATTTTTTGATCAAATCCGATTTTTTTGTCTGCTCGTTCACACTACAAATAAAATGTGACAGCAAACGCGCTCTAGTGTGAACGCTCAAAGCGCCCGCATGCGCAAAAGAAGACGTCACACACAACGCGCTGTTTAGACCCAGAGCAACAGTATGTTTGACCGATAGCCTTAATGTAAAGCATAGGTGTCAAACTCTGGCCCGTGGGCCAAATTTGCCCCGCAGCCTAATTACATTTGGCCCGCGAAGCCATACCAAATTACTATTAGAGCTGGCCTACTGGTATTATACAGCTAATATATATATTGTTTAGTATTAAGCTTTGCTTGTTCCATATTCAGTTTTTCAGCAAAACGTGTTTGAGTTCATAAGAAAAGATTCATTCTTATATCTGGAGGAATAAATATATTTCAATAAATATTAACGTTAGACCGCGACTTTGTTCCAGTTTTGAATTTTGGCCCAAAGTGTATTTGAGTTTGACACCCCTGATATAAAGACTTCGGACTTTACGTTTCCCAGTTTTTGCTTTAAGTTATTTTGTTATTTACATAATAATGTAAATAACCTAATAATGATCCTTATTGCTGTTTTAGAGGAGCGGTGCTTCAAAGGATAGCTGCAGATTTCTGTCAGAATCTGCAGATTATACAGTACAAATAAGTAGAGTGAAGCTGACCCCCCACCCACTTGAAACGTAAAGGCAAACAGGCGGAGCGGTTAGTGCTACGTTTGTGCAGATTTGTGCAGGTAAAATTAGCGTTTGTGCTGCTTCTGTTTTAAAGATATTAATGAAAATGTAAAGGTCAACCAGCCCCCCCACATTACC